AAATACGTAATTAGGAGAAGGTAAATAGGACAAAAATGATAACGTCACTGTTATTTGTAAATAAATTGTTGGGTGCTGGAATATTGGTCAATCGACGACAAAAATTATAACCAATAAAACCGGCTTTCGCAAGGAAAGAAACTTCCGCAGCCTCATAACATCTTGTATTATTTTTCACCGAAGCATTTCGTTGAAGCATTTCGTTGAAGCATTTCGTCGAACATATGAGAAGCAACTAATGTCGCAAACCATCAAGTACCTGCTATCGGAGCACCCAAACATAGTAAACTTCCGGTGGAGCACCACCCACTTATGGGGCTCCACTTGGTACTTCCTCTTCACCGCCATCCCCGCCTACATCGCCGCCGCCAGCGCCCTCCACCTCATACTCACACTCTTCCGCCGCCATGATCGCCCTGTCCCGCTCGGCCCAATCCCGGCAGTCCACAGCCTTGTCATGGCACTCATCTCCGCCGTCATTTTCACCGGCATCCTCGTCTCCTCCGTCGCCGAGATTCGCGATACCCGCTGGTTGTGGCGGCGCACCAAGACCACCCCCTTCCAGTGGCTCTTCTGCTTCCCGCCCGGCACACGCCCTTCCGGCCGCGTCTTCTTCTGGTCCTACGTCTTCTACCTCTCCCGGTTCCTCCACCTCCTCCGCACATTCTTCACCATCCTCCGCCACCGCCGCCTCACCTTCTTCCACCTCTTCAACCAGTCTACCTCATCTTCATGTCGTTCCTCTGGCTCGAATACTCGCAATCGTTCCAGGTCCTCGCCATACTCTCCACCACTCTGCTCTACTCCGTCGTCTACGCCTACCGGTTCTGGACCGGAATTGGGCTCCCCGGGGCGTGCTTCCCGTTCGTGGTGAACTGCCAGGTGGTGCTGCTAGTCTGCAACTTGGTCTGCCACGTCGGCGTGCTTTCCCTGCACATTTTGAAAGGGGGCGGGTGCAACGGGATCGGAGCTTGGCTCTGCAACTCCGTCCTCAACGGCGCGATTCTATTGCAGTTCTTGAAATTCTACGTGAAAAAGTATTTGAAGAATTCAACGGCGGTTGATGAGGTTGTGAATCCGGCCACGCATTTGGGATCTGGGTCGGAGTCAAAGCGTGAGCTGCTCGTTAAAGAAAAGTAGAAAAGTATTGTCAACGGTAATCTTTGTAGCACAAAAATTTCGATAGAGTTATCCGATTATGGTAGTTCTCGCAACCTTTTGGACAAGAGAAATGTCTTATGAGTGGCGTGATCCGGCTTTCCCAACAAAGTATAAGGTTTTCTTTTTTGTAAATTTTTTTTGTTTTAGTAGGTTATAGGCGTTCATCTCGACTCTCGCAAAGTAAAGAGCTTTGTTGGCTTAGGAGTTTACCTTTAATAAGCAATATTGTGAATATGATATATCTTTCCTTAATAAATTGAAATGTGAATTTTTATTTGGAGAGAACAAACCCTTTTGTTGGATTTTGTAAATGAGAAATAGTAGAAATGATCTCTTACCTTTTACTCAATTGAAAGAATGGTCCCTCAACTAAAAACTATGACAGTTGGTTTCTTAACTCATCAAAATGTGCAATTATGGTCATTTCGTTAACTCCATCAGAATTCTGTCAAAATGACCCATGTTGAAAAAAATCATTGCTACAATTGTGTTAAAGACTAAAGTTGAGGGACTATTGTTACAATTTTCTCATGTGGTTTCTCATATTTGCCCCTTGATTCAGTCTCATGTACATGACACGTGACTCATTTTGACAGAAATTCTAACGAAATTGACAAAAATGATCATAGCTGCACGTTTTGATAAGCTAAGAGACCAATGACCACAAATTTTTAGTTGAGAGACCATTACTCAAATTAGGCTAAAGTTAACGAAAAATCTATATACAAGTATAAAATCGACATATAATTGATGAAGAGGGCTGTAGACTCTCAAAAGATTGTGTAAGTACTTAAAATTGACCCTATTATTTTGGGGTTTTATGTATTTTTCTTCTTTTCTCTACCCTAATTAATTGAACCATAAGAGGTTTTAGACTTATTTTTGCTACATCTCTTGCAACTCGATTTTAATTTCAATTTACTCTCTGTAACTTAAAAGTTGCCACTTTACTACTTGAAACTCAAAATTCGCTTTACTTTGCCTCCTAGAACTCGATTTTGATCGCAGTTTGCCTCCTAAAACTTGAAAGTCATATTTATAAAACTAAAAATTCGTTCCACATTACCTTAGATCTGTTAATTTCTTGAGCCAGGCTAATCAATTTCTTTTTTATTTTTTTTCATCTCTTCCATTTCTTTTAAACTTAATATTTTCTGATTGTTGAATGTTGACGCATAACGGAGATTTATAATCAAATTTATTGCACATGTGGCATAATCTTATTGGGTTTTGTGTCTCACATATGTTTTAGGAGACGACCTATAAGTTTTAGAGAGAAATGAGAGTTCACCAGTCAAAGTGAAGTGAATTTTGAGTTTTAATGAGTAAAATGATAACTTTTGAGTTAAAATAAGTAAAATGAGATTAAAATACAGTTTTAAGGAAAGTAACTAAAAATAAGTCGATATTTTATGTGCTTATTGTTTTGGTTGGTGAAGGTTCCACTTGAAACGGTCAACCAAATGCAGCATGAAAAGAATACTTTGATCATTATAGAAGACCAATTATCTTTTTCTAAGTTTCAGATTGACCAATTGCTCTCAGTGATTGGATTTCTGGAATTTATTGTTTTTCTTATATGACTATGGTATAATTGCTTAGCAATTTCTTTTTGTCATTGCATGCGTAAACATGATTTTCATTGGTTGACAAAAAATTAATGGGTATACTAATAGGACATTAAGATGTGACATCCTTCTATTAGAAAAGGATGCAATCGCTCGAGAAGGCCGATTTTTTTCTTAGGGCGATAACGAAGGCCAATTATGCGAAAGGATATGCGTGCTACTTGAATACAAAATTTTCTATAGTAAAATCTGGCAGATGGTGGTTTACTGAAGTGGTAAAAGGTAATGACGCACATGCATATACATTCTGGTAAGGTTCAATTTTCACTGATTTTTATCCCCTTAATAACTAATAATTTAACCCATTAACATTATAATTTGTAAAAAAAAGAAGAAAAAAAAGAATCAACTTTGATACATATCCTATTATAATCTTTAATTTTAGCTAATGAATAAAGTTTCCCAAACCATCAATCTTCCCCATTCCAAAAAGAAAAAAAAAAAAAAATATATATATATATTTACATGGTTTAGGTCCTGCGGTCCTCCCTCTCTCCTCATGGCCTTTCATCCCTATGTCTCTCCTCCAAGACTGAATTTGTCGTTGCGAGGACTAGTGTGCTCAGGTCCTGCGGTTCTGCTACGTTGTGAATTAAATTTAGGTGCCCCACTGCTTGCAAGTTGCCATTGGATTTAGCAGTTCTGTTGCCTTATGCAACCAGATTTTGGGGTGCTTGACATGTGGAAGCCGAAATCTCACTAGAGCAGTGAAGTTGCAGCTGACCTTAGCATGAGGGGTCCTTGTCCTCCACTGAGATGAGCTGACCGGTGGTTTCATTCTAGGAGTAGTATAGTTGTTTTTGCCTTGCCTTGCGAGTGTTTTGGTCGCGCTATTACGATGGCTAGATTGGTATTCACATTTGAGCGGTGAGTTATGTGGTCTTGCCTATCAACAATGATTTGATGTGGCTTCACTCTATTGCAATGACTTTATGTGGCATTGCTTTTCAATGTGATTGATGTGGCTACTAGTATAACTGTGTTGTGTCTATTGTTTATTGTGCCAGTATTAGTGGTGACTATACATTTGTGCTTGTGTGTTTACTTTTATTTGTTTAATTGTTTAATACTTACATTTATTTCAGAATCACATGATTCTGATTTGATGTCCGAAAATTAAAAGCATAATCATGAGAGACGCTTAAGGCTAGCAAATTTGGTGTCAATTTCGGCTTAAAGGCCCAACACAACACAACTAGAAATATAGTAGAGCCCAAATCCAGAAACATTAAGCCTAAATGAAATGCAGATAAAAACCCAATTCATAGATAAGGCTTAGAGGCAAATTCCCCTGTTATATAGCTACCATTTTCTAACTTGATTGTTGCATTTGGTTTTTGGATAAAGACATATTACTTGTTGCGGTATATCGAGAGGGTGTGTAGAGTTCCGGTGTTCACACCGGCTCCCTCTCTTGGTCTGCCTTCATTGGCACTGTCGCTAGTGGACATCCCACTGGCTTCTTTGGTTTCTTCTACTTGGTGGCTGCAACTGGGGAGGAGCTATTTGCTGGATGATGGAGTTTTGCTTCCTTCCTTCTCTGAGGCTTTGTCTGATCGGATTTATGGTGTTGGTTGGGTTCGATGGTTCGATGGTTCGAGCTGTTTGCGAGGTGCCGAGGCAATTGTTGCAGTAAGCTAGGGATTACTTTTTCAGTCGGTTTGCTTTTGTTCTTTAGCCTAATCTTTGGTTGGGCTCTTCGTGTTTCTTTTTGGTTGGCCCGCGTGGCCTTTGTATATTTGTTTTGTAAAGCTTTGTCGGCAATAAAACTTTTGCCTTTCTACCAAAAAAAAAAAAACAAAAAAACCTGGATTTAATACACCAAAAGTTTTCCGGCCGAGGAGTTTTGCACAAATGACAACTCATTTTTTCTCTTTTTGTAACTTCGTCATCTAAATCCAAGCCGATCATCCCTTAATCAGCTCCTCGACATACCTTGGTTACGTCTATCAACCTTCATCAACGTCCGTCATGGCTTGATCTTTAGCAGCTCAATTTTCTTCTTGATTTTCACTATTGCATTTCCTTTCCCAGCAACCTGTATTTGGATGAATCCAATGTTTAGCAACACATGACGTTGTCACACATAGTTTCATCTTTTATGAGTTTATGCGACGTTTTCGGCACAAGAAGTACTATCGACTTATCGAGCCACAAAGAACAAGTAAGTGTGTTCATATTTACCCTAAAGTTTTGTTCATCCACATGTTTAATTTATACGCATTTGAGTCTCCATGTCTTTGAGCTGTCTCTTTCTAACTGTGAGATTTTTTGTGATTAATGACTTTTTTTGGTCGGATTAGATCTCAATTTGTAGCTAGTTAATCTTTTGTTTGTTTGTATGTCGTCAATTCTTCGTTTTGGTTTTCATAACTAGAAAATGTTTTGTTTTAATCTGGTCAAGTCAGTTAATCATGACTCTATACGTGCCCTTATGTTAAGTTTCAACCACTCTCACAGTAAATGAGCCTAAATTAAGATTTGTATGCATTCGTTGAGGAACGAACAGCCATCAGTCTGCTGCTCAACTTGCGTCGGACTCCATCACCAAACAGCACTCATGATTCTCGTAGTAGTGAAAATTAAGATTGCTTTTTTTTTTTCCCTTAATATTATTCCTTATTTTTTTAGATTTATCAAGGAGGAAGCTAGTAGATTTGTTTTTTTTTTTCCCATCAAATTATCGAATTTATCGTCCCATGTATTGTATTTTACACCAATCAAATTTACCCAACAAATCTAACAGCTTTAAATTTTCTTTTTGACCCGTTCTCTACTTTCTAAAAAAAATAAATAATTCCATATTCGCACTTAATTTCATCATTTATATTATTATTGGCCTTTGTATTTATGGGGTATTTATATATAAATGGCCTTTTATTTTTGGCCATTTTAACAAAACGCGCTTATCTTTTTCTAGATTAATTTCTTCAACACCACAAACGTACTCTTCGTTCTCGGAGCAAAAAACTTCTCTCTAACTCAACTTTGGCATGAGGTATCTCAGTTTTTTTTTTCTGAATAATAAACTTCTTTACACAAACACATTGTTTTCCCCATTATTTTGTGTGTACTTGAGATGGAATTTCTACCTTTATTTGTTCGTGATTACATTTCAATTGCCAAAAAAAGGGGATTTGGCAAAGTAATTGAAAAGTTTGATAATTTGTTATATCTAAACGATTTTGGATACTGTTTGATTGAAACTTTGAAATCTCAACATTGGCATGAGGTATCAATTTTGTTCTCGGAGCAAATGGCATTTATGTGTGAAAGCATTGCTGTGAAAAATGAATCATCGCATCGCACCCCGAGAAAGTCATCATAGAGAAAAATTAGGGTTTGGAGGTCTTCATTCCCTTCTTTTTGTTTGGAACTGTTATTGGCATGCCAAGAAAGTCGCCATGCATCTGTCGTAACTCAAAAACTCTTCCGGTTGAGTGCATGATAACTCTTTTGCCGCCAATAACAACTCCTTTCTTTTTTTTCATGATTCAGTGTTATTTTCTTTCTTACATTTATATTTAGGGACATTTTAAGCATAGATTTTAAAACCCCATTTATTAATATTGCAGCTGCATTGAGGGAGGTTTTTCCTGGAACGAGATGGATGTTTGCAGTCCTTTGAAACCAGATTGTAAACTAAAACACAGGCCTTTGTCTCCTATTAGAGTTATGAGGGGTGTCTTATGTTTAGTAGTATTTCTCTCAACAGCATTCACGATTCTTGTCTGTTTTGCTCCAATCATTGCTGTATTATTGCGCCTTTTGAGCATACATATCAGCAGAAAAGCAACCTCCTTACTCTTCGGCATTTGGCTGGCCTTGTGGCCCTTCCTTTTTGAGAAGATCAACGGCACGAAAGTGGTTTTTTCTGGTGAGACGGTGCCACCCAAGGAACGGACGCTGCTCATTGCCAACCATAAAACCGAGGTTGATTGGATGTACTTGTGGGATCTTGCATTGCGAAAAGGGTCTCTTGGACACATCAAGTATGTGCTCAAGAGCAGCCTGATGAAGCTGCCAGTATTCGGGTGGGGATTTCACATTTTAGAGTTCATTCCTTTGAAGAGGAAGTGGGAAGCTGATGAACCGGTTATGCGGAAAATGCTTTCGTCATTTGCTGATCCTGCAGACCCTCTCTGGCTTGCCATTTTTTCCTGAAGGAACTGATATATAAGTACTACCCTTTACCCCTCTTTTTTTTTTCTTTTTTTTTTCAATCCATTTGCATGTATATTTTCAGATTATTATGTTGAAGTTATTATATACAAGACTGTTGACCTCCATCTACATGTATTTCCATATTTGATCAAGGATAGAAGATTCGAAGTAATCTCAATTAGGTTACATAATTAGTTCAATTAAGATAGAATTTATGGTTACAATATTGCCTTAATTTGATGCACTTCTATACAATACATAAGTCTTGGACCCCATTTCTCACATTTTTTAATATAATGGTTACATCCCACATTGGCATATCTCATATTTTCAACTTGCAATTTTCTATATTGCATGCTAGGGTTTGTGTTTATTCAGTAATATATGAATATACGAAGATATATAGTTCTTCTTTTTGTCTCTATACAGTGAAGAAAAATGCAAAAAGAGTCAGGTATTTGCTGCTGAAAATGGACTTCCTGTACTGTCACATGTGCTACTTCCAAGAACTAAAGGCTTTTGTGCTTGCTTGGAAGCTCTAAGAAGTTCTTTGGATGCAGGTTATTTACACAAAACTCAACTCTGTGATTTTCCCCACAATTTCTTATCGAAACATTTTGAAGATTGTGTGTGCGCATGTTATACTTATATGTTCTCTGATGACCATCTAAATTGTGCTGCAGTTTATGACTTGACTATCACATACAAGAATCAATGCCCTTCGTTTCTAGACAATGCGTTTGGCGTGGATCCATCAGAAGTTCACATACATGTTCGGCGAATCCCTATTGAAGAGATCCCTGCTTCTAATGCCGATGCAGCCTCTTGGTTAACGGAAGCATTCCTGCTCAAGGACAACTTACTTTCCGATTTCAGCGATCAAGGGCATTTCCCTAATGAAGGAGGAGAAGAAGAGCTTTCTACATTCAAGTGCTTGGTAAATTTCATGTTCGTAATTGTTTTGACTATCATGCTGATTTACCTAGCCATTTTTTCATCCGTCTGGTTTAAAATATACATTGGTTTATCATGTGGGTACCTTGCCACAGCTACTTATTTTGATTTTCATCCGATGCCAATTTTAGACTTTGTTCAAGCAACATGTGTTTGCAATAGACCAAGAATTGAATAGCAATTAAAGGAGAAATAAAATGTCCAAATACCAATTTTTAAAGTGTTTTTGGAATGTTTATATATATTGTTGCACTTGCACCTGCGTGTGCTTGCCGCCGAATTCCTTATGCCAAAACAGTAGAATAATTTCAACGAGACACGGACATTCCCCTTGCTGCGGTTCCCTTCGGTCCCTTCCCGGGTTGGGTTAGGGAACATCCGAGGGATTGCCTTTGCGGACCTACAACTAGGACGTCATTGCAGCGGTTTATTCCCAATTTCGCATCCCAGCCAAAGTAACCAGTCATTGTCTTGAGACAAGCAATAGATGCAAACTTCATTTTTCTAGTCATTGCAGCATTTAATTTAAAGAGAGCTGCAAATTTGCCTGGTAGCATGACAGTTTTCCATGTGCTATGGCGCGGGGATTCTTCAGTCTATGAAACCACATATATACACCGTCAATGTTTTTACAGATTTGCAGTGATTTTATAACATGTTGAGCCTTGGATCTTATCTTCCTGTAATTAGGTTCAAAAGTGGTATATCAGATATATCTGTTGAAAATTAATCTTATAATTTTCATTTTCTATCTTGAATCATCTTGAAAAATTGTTTAGTACATTGTAAATAGAAAGAACAATGTCACGTTTGAAAGTGCTTTTCTTAGAACAAGTAGAAGTGCTTGTGAGATGAGCGCTTCTGATACTATTTGATGGAAAAAGTTAAAAAGTTTTTACAGATTCTAAACATGACCTGGATCTTTTTAAAATTTGTGACGTGCTAATGAAAGGGTTTATGAACATAAGTGTCTTGTGAAGAAGTATTTTCAATAGATCAAAAAAGAAAGTTTGGGGATTATTCTCAACTTTATGCTTAAAACAAATGAGAGAAATTTGCATCGCGGCCATTTGTTTTAACTTTCACACTTAACATCTTGTTCGTTTAGAGTACTGATCGACATTTTGATGTCCTGGGAAAGTTGTCTCTCAATCTACGAGGTTAGCTGGTAGTTGTAGACAGATTAAATGAGTGAAGCAAAGGGTATGAACTTTGTCAACCCTTGTATGTGAGCAGGTTTCTTTGTCTTGCCCAACTTTCTGGTGGATTTCGACTTTTATACCACAAATAAGCCTCACAGTACGTATCATGCCAATATATAGGAAACAATCAAACCCAGACAGTGCCAACGATTAAAAGAAAACGCGTTTTGCATGGCTCTGCTGGCATGCATTTGCGGTCTGCTTGGTTATAGCTTTTCTTAAAGGACGCCCCTTTTTTTATCTTCATAGCCAAACATGGTTTTCCAATCTTCTTGTTGCTTATAACTTAGCGATGTATGAAGCTTGTTCAACTGGCCAACCCTTTTAGTCCTTCCTGCCTCTCTTTTTTTACGCTGACGAGAATTAGGTTAGTTGATTAGAGCAATCGGTTTGTGCCATACACTCATGTTTGAATCACACTCCTCGTATCTTATAGTTTAATTATAAATCATCTTGTCAAAGAATAATGGCATTTGTCATTTTTCCGAACGGAAAATGATTGAAGGCCCAAACCATTCATTTTTTGTTGTATATTTGGGAGGGTAAAATGCATAATATGAAAAAAGTTGAGGCCCTACCATAAAATTAATTGACAATATGGAGAGTAGTCCAACATACTTATAAGCCCTTACAAGGTTTCTCCTTTCACAATGTGAGACTCATTAAACTTCACCTCCTCACGCGTGATAAATTTTCAAGCCAAACACTTGGACAATAAAAATTAGGTGGTGTGGAACACATGTTGCTGTTCGGCTTCACATGTTAGCCACATGCTCTGATAACATAAAGAAAATTAAGGTTCCACCATAAAATTAACTGGCAATATAGATAGTAGTTCAACTTACTTATAAACCTTTGCAAAGTTTCTTTTTTCACGATGTGGGATTCATTAAACTACACATCGTGAAAATGGATGACACGATGACACATCAGATTTTACATCGTGAATAATAAATATGGAGAGTAGTTTATACATCGAAACATAGAATTCTTGCAATTTTTTTCCATAACACTAAAATAGATGACACGATGACACATCAGGTTTTACCATTGAAAAACAAAACAAAGTTAAAGGGTAAACATAAGATAAGGTAAAGCTGCACACTCAACTGCCAAACAATCTACCCTGGCGATCAACCAAACCAAATCCAACAAACTACTTTCCTAAAATAGAAAACGTGGTGACAGAGAAAGATTGCCCCGCCTTTACTTTGATGACGTGGCAAGCCCCCATTGGTTCATTACCCAGTAAAAGGTTGTGCTTCCGGCGCATAGGAACAGGCCCCACCATCTTATACCACGTCACGGAAAGAGAGGGAGAATTTAAAATACCAAAATTAACCCTGGGCGCAATTATAAATACCGATCACCAAGCGGAAGCTTGGAACCGCCAAATCGGATTAAATCGTAATTCCACAACTGTCCTCGACTCTGTCTTCGTTTTCGGTTATGGCGACTAAGCTCTATCTTCTTCTTTCTCTCTTCACGTTAGGTACGTACCTAAATCCCTCTTTAAACTAATTAAACATGATTAACTACACTAATTAATAAAGTAATTAACGTAATCTAAACTCGTTTCTGTTTCTGGGTAATATTTCTCTGCTTCTTGATGCAGCTGCAGGTAATGTAGTCCGCGCCACCCAATTCACTCTCCAAAACCGTTGCGGTTACACAGTCTGGCCGGGAACTCTCTCCGGAAACGGCGCTGCAATTCTCGGAGAGGGCGGTTTCGCATTGGCCCCTGGTACTTCTGTCCAGTTCACCGCCCCTCCCGGCTGGTCCGGCCGGTTCTGGGCACGAACTGGCTGCACCTTCGACGACACGGGAAAAGGAAAATGCGTCACTGGCGACTGCGGGTCGCTAAAATGTACCGGTGGTGGCGCGCCTCCAGTGACGTTGGCGGAGTTCACGATCGGGTCCAACCCGGGGGACAAGGACTTTTATGACGTCAGCCTGGTGGACGGTTACAATGTAGGTATGGGGTTGTGGGCCACCGGCGGAACTGGCGACTGCCAGTACGCGGGGTGCGTGGCGGACTTGAATGGCCGCTGCCCGGCGGAGCTGCGGGTGATGGATGCGGGTTCGGGGGCGGTGGTCGCTTGCAGGAGCGCGTGCGCGGCGTTTAACACGCCAGAGTTTTGCTGCACCGGGGAGCACGCGACGCCGCAGACTTGCTCGCCGACGCAGTACTCGGAGATGTTCAAGACGGCGTGCCCCACAGCGTACAGCTACGCCTATGACGACGCTACGAGCACTTGTACCTGTTCCGGGTCGGACTACTTGATCACATTTTGCCCCAGCGGGTCATCATAAACAAATGATCAATTAATTATTAAGTATATTGGTATAAATTAAATTTTAGATAAGGGAGTGAAGGACCCTTGTGCTTATGGGGTTTAGAATATTAATTGATTAGTGTTGCGTAGCAAATTGATTATGGTTTAATCAAATTTTAGAGCACTTTTATATTATGTTATTTATTCGAAGATCAAGTCTAACATGTAGTAATACTCGCCTAATCCTCGATTTCACGAACGATGGGTAGCTGTCTCTGTTCATAATCCCATCTTCATTAATATGACATGGTTTTATTCTAGAAAAGTCTAATCTGTACGTTTGCTTTGTCGGTTCTTTTTGGTGTGATTAGTTTAAAATGTTTTGATTAGATGGGTGGTAAATTAGGTTAAGAAGAGATATAGATACATGTATGAATATATTTAAGTGAGCTTCTTTGCGTGTTGGTTCCTAACGCGGTGCATGCATGGGAATGCAATACTACTTAATTTGGAAGACTCTTGGCGCCTCCACAATCGAAAGATTTTTTAGTGTGCTGAAAATACAACTTAATATACCAAGCGTTATAGTAAAAGTGCTTGGATACTTAAAAAAAAAAAAATTCAACCACTTGTATTATGACACTTAATGTACCGATACGTGTTATTGAAACATTTCTCCTGTACCACCAATGAACCAATATATCTGATGTCCTTGCATTTGCATATCATTATTGTCCGAGACTAAGATGTTGTATGCATTTCGAACAAAGAAACTGAAGCTTCTGTCCCTTTGTCGCTTTCTTTCTTATTCTACCATGTGACTCTTAATTTGTCTGGATCAACACTGCTAGTTACTGTGTTACACTGATACCCTCCCATCTCTTGGGGTAACCGTTTTATTTGCAAAATCAACGATTCAGATCTTGAAGATAGTGTTGATAGCGTATGAGAGGGAAATTTGTGTATTAATGTTCAAACTAGTTTGTGTTTTTCGGGTGATGCTAGAGAGATCATATATTTGAAGGTTTTAATCATTTTTTAAATCATTAGAGAAAAAATCAAACTATTAACTGTCACATCATATGTTCTACAAAATATGATATAAAAACATAACCTTCCTAGCGTTTTCTGTGCTTTGATTTGTATAAAGACACCCTCTAATACAAGTGATTCCAGACAGTCAACAACATAGTTTTGTTTCAAAGAGCTCATTTGGAAGTCATTTCAAAATGACTAAAAACTCTTTTAGAGAAAACATTTTAGGATACAAAAGTATTTAAAGTACCATCTACAAGAAACACCAATTATATACGAGCTCGTTTGGCTGTAATTTTAAAATGATTGAAAATGCTTTTGGTGAAAATATTTTTAAAATTAATCCTTAATAAAAACATAAGAAAATCCTAAAAATAAACACTTAGAGCGCTTCCTGAAAGAAACACATAACTAATGTTTCTTGCAGAAAGCATTTCAAGTGCTTTTGGAACCCAAAAATATTTTTCCTAAAAGCGCTTTCAGCCATTTTAAAAGCACATCCAAACGAGCCATACTTTTTCTAGAATGAATTTTAAGTCCTTTTCCAAGACTTCCGTGCATTCTTACTCAAAATTAGCTCCAAAAACATTTTCACCAAACTATATTTTAAAAAACACTTCCAAACAAGCTCAAAATTAATAAAACACGTAAAATAAAAACGCTAAACAAATACAAGGGCTTTTTTTTTTTTCCTTTTTCTTTCAAATTTCAAGGCCTTCGGCCAAACCACTGCACAAACAACTCAACTCAACAAGCTTCCCTAAACTTTTTTTTTTCCTTGTTACTTTTGGAATCCCCTTTGCATTTCATGCATTTCTAAATTTCCCTACAAGCAGGCTTTCATCTTTGAAAGCAACAGCTCACCTCCCGGCCCAACATTTTTTTTAATGATTTATTGGGCCTTGCTGAATGGAACCCTAACATCTAAAAGGCCCAGGCATTGAAATGCCGCCACCTTTTCGTAAAATTAAAACCCTACAAAAAAAATTACGAAAAACCAAAAATAACTAGAACTGCCTAATTTTTTACAGACGTCCCTTTTGAGGAACTGTTACTTGAAAACCAACTCTGTATGCTGCTAATCCATGACGTTCTCATCTCACTAGAGCCTGTGCATTGCCCTTGTGCTTCGTCTTTAGCTACTGAACAGGGTTTGGTCCGAGCAATCGAGCGAAGCACCACATGCCGAATTGTATGATTGACAGGCCGAATAGCAGACACGGAGTCTGTTGTCCCCGTCCTTGTCGCACTTTTGAATCGATATCTGCAACATGGTCGGATTCTGAGTATTTGAGAGAAATGATAAAGGCGAGAGAAGGTGATGGAGAAAATGGAAAATGGAATGATGGGTTGTAAGTAGGAGGCGACTTACCCAGCAAGCAAGCTGCTTCGCGGTTGTGTCACAGTAGCTGGTTCCGAAGATGCTAAAAAGCTTCCGGGCGCCACCAGGAAACAAACGATGGTAGTTGGGCATGACCACTACATCCTCAAGCTGCTGCAATATGCTTGGTTCACTGGGTGCACAGTGCTGTCCGGCACCAGAGTTGACGTTTTCCAGGACATCTTTACAAACTTTAAGACTGGATTGGAGCATGGTGCTGTTCTGGCATGAGTAGCCTGCATAGTCAGAGCAGCGGAATTCACAGACTCCATCATCACAAACACCTCCGTGAAGGCTGCATTGCTCATCACAAACCGCTGCCAATACAAGAGCAAACTGATCAGAAAACAGCTAACTGCCAGAATATTAGCAGTCATCGTGAACGCAGAGGATGAAAAGGACTCCTTGACACATGAGCAAAGAATTTAGACGGTGGTCCTAAAACCCTTCACCCACCATCAGTCAAGCGTCTGAAATATGGGTGGCGTCATTCTCGAGTTGGCTACGTTTGCCATATAGACAAACTGGAAGGGAAAAACAAGAAGAAAAAGAGTGCATACCAGTGGAGCAGTCAATGCCTGTGTACCCTTTATTACATTCACACAGCCCATTAGAAAGGCAGCTTCCACGTCCATTACAGTTGCTCGGGCAGGTGCCTGCAAAAGTCATAATTTCAGAAGTGGTGCATCATAACTTGGTGTAATTGCATCTTGCGTGCTGATTATAAAGGGTGAAAAAAAAGAAATTAGGAGCTCACGTTTACTACAATCAGAACCATGAAACCCTAGAAAACAGTGGCACCTTCCTTCAACACAGTCTCCATTGAAATTGCACGACATTGGACATTGTCCATTTGCAGGAATTAGGCCTTTACTGCAGAGTTCATGGTATGCCGGGCATAACAATTCACCTGAAAGAGGAGCATTTTCAAGTTTTAATCATGGTAACGCCCCCAACAAGACTGAGAAGGAAAAATGATAGAACAGCATCATTACCATTAAATCCTGGGAACTGAAGGGGTCCACCAGCTTCAGGACATACTTTCCACATACCATCCACAGCAATCTGAAATTTGCAAGGGAAAAAACATGAAGCAGGTTCAAATATAAAGATGATGCTTGTCTACTTTGTAGTTGATAAAGCTACCATGATACCCCATGCACACCCGATAAACTAAAGCAGATGAAAAAGAATCATTGGAATAACAAACCTCTAATGAATTATTAACACATCTGTGCTGATAACATCCATTTCCTTGGGTCATCGAACCCCGTACAAACCCTGTACGTACCAATGATGAAGCCATACACCTACAAGTAACAAGATGAAAAGTCATTAGCAACATCTTGCTATTTTCAACTGCATCCAGCATCCATAGGAAAGCAATTTCCTATTTTAATAAGGTGTAATTGACTTTAAAATCTCACCTAGAGTTACTTCCTCGTACTTCACCCAACATTTTGTCAGGTGGCCGTGCGCTGTTAGTGTCAGTACATGACCCATCAGAGTAAGCAACGAAATAGGTGCAATAATCAGCCAGTGGGGACTGACCACCTGGAAACGTCACAAGACAACAGAATTCACATCAAGCTCCAAACCAAGTATTATGGTTAACAGATTATAATTTATAATATAGCACAAATGATGGAATGCTTATACAAACCAGTTCAAAGATAATCATGTAAATTATAAATACAAAAACCACACCTTTGTTAGCCTGTGGAAAGTAGCGTGCCCACTGGGGTAGGTCTCCACTGTAACTTACGATCGGACAGTAACCTTCAGCTTCTCTGTTGTATGTACATCCTGACAATTGGGTTGCGTTGCAATGATATGCCCCCTTCCAGAGATTGCAAGGGGAAGTCACAAATTCAGTTCCTTGGTTGCGGCCCCAATCAAGATTCTCTGCCATACTATAATTGGCCTGGTACCATCCACTATCTTCTAGTAAAGCAAGTGTCATTTTTGAAACCACAGATCTTGTATCCACTGACCCCGTCATAATTTCATTCATTAGAAGTCTTTTCTCCCAGTGTGACCCTAAAAGTATATAGACGTACAATGAGTATTATTAAATATCAAAATGCTATCACAACTTTGTTGTTATCAGTCAGGGAAAAAAATCCGCTATAGTTCTATCTATCAACTGTAAGAATTATCTTTCTTCTTGGTATTTTAAACTCCCCTGAATATTATACTTCTAAATATTGTTCCTCATGTCATATAATCGAGTATCAATAATATTTAACCAAGTACAGTATATTGGTGATATAACCTCTACAACATAGCATACAAACTTTTAAAGTACAGTACCTGATGTGCCGCGTCCTCCACCATCTTCGAGCTCTAAACCAGTGAAATTCTCAGAGAATGCCTGCCAGAAAAACATTCAACCATTTGTGTCTTAAAATAATTTTCTTAGAAAATATATAGTTTTCTTGAGCAGCACAGCAAATCCATGCATAATAAAGAGGGCTGACATTTACCGCATAATGATATCTTGAATGCATGACAACACGTGGAAGCAACACACGAGTCACCATTCGCCCAAGCTTTTCATCCATAATTTGTTCTGTAACCTGAAAATGGATAACAGGAAAAAATTTGGGGCCAGAGTGTCAATTAACTTTCCATAATCAAGCAACAATAAAACATCATATAATTTTCATAATGCATTTCATACAACAAAAACAAAAGGAAATACTAAAAGCTCAAATAAATACTAAAAGTTCCTACAGGCTCTTATGCAGATCATGATATTTGAAATATCTGACTATCGTCTCTGAAATTGTTGTGACAAGATGCAATGATTATGCTTTCGAAAGAAGAAGAAAGAATAAATTTCTCGTATATTGAATATGGTTAGAAGGTAGCATGCAGGTTAAAATTTCACTCAATGGGGACCATTGACTAATATAACGGGGATAACTGCTAAAGGCAGAACTCAAATTCTAGTCAAGGAGTGTATCTCAATTCTTGCAATTCCAAAGCACCTACAACAACAACAACAAAGCCTTTTCCCACTACAACAACTACAACAACCTAGATGGATACAAATAATAAAGGTCTGAATAATGGAGATAACGATAATGGTAGTACTGTATTATTTGAAGGTTCCAAAAGTTAAAACCAAAATACATAGATTTCAAGTGGTTGTAAAGGAAGATTTTGATGCATTAGTAATAGTCTTTACCTGACTACGCCTTCTTTTCCTTTCATCCCTAAAATGAGCAAATGCATGGGGATCAAAACCGAGAACATGCATAACCTGGAAGGATCACGCATTCTAATCAGTAAGAAAGCACATCCCATGTTTTTAAATTTCATTAAAAGCCCACTGACCTCATGTATGAGAGTAGCAGAAAGTAAAGTTTCTGCTTCAGCTGTCAGATGGCGAGGAGCAACATTTACATGTCCTTCATCCAAAAAGAAATAGATACTATCAGTCCTGAGTTCTAATGCAAGAAAGGCACAACTAGGTCAATTGAAAACGCTGCTCAATGAATGAATTACCTGCAATTGCACGACCCCATTGATCACGTTCGCAAGCCACTGCCCATGCAAGGGTGTTCCCAGTGGTTGGTCTTGTTGTCACCAGAAGAACCAAGTCTGCTTCAGCAACACCCTCTGAAAAAGATCAACACTACGTTAATAGGATAGTAGACTAGTGTGTGAGCACATATCAAGACTTGCCGCTAAATACAAAACTCAAATGAAGAAATGAGCTTGATACGCAACACCCAATCTGCAAGTAAGATACCTTCAACATATTCACGTGGCAGTTGTACACCTCCATCCTGGCCACAGGCTGAATACCCACTCAACCGCAAGTTCCCCCTCACAGGTTCAACAGCTAAGGCTCTCTTGAACCAGTCTGCAGTCTGCCCTAGAGCCTGCATTTAAATAAATCAGAAGATTAGTTTCATGCATGCTTAAATTTACCAGGGCTGTTTAGCATGCAGCACTGCCAATAAATTCATCTATCATGTGCACATTATATTTTCTATGAAATAGAACTGTTTGATTAAGCAGAACCCAGAGACATGAAGCAGTACGAACAAAGTAGAATAGGAACAATATACAATCGTTATATGAGGTACTAACTTGGAAGAATAAGTCAGGAGGAAAACAAAGTACAATCTAACCTTGCGAAGGCGTTGCCTTTTGTCCTTCCCAGCTATATCATCCAAGGTGCAGTTATACCAGCAGTCACCAGAAATTGGAGGATCACCATGAGGATTACAAGAAGGAGTGCCAGGAATCGAAATCACAGGTGGCTCCCCAAGCTTCACAACATCGCCAACATTTCGACAATCTCTATCAGGAGAGTGACCAACAGCATCATAATTTAAATATATTCTAATAGGCCTTTTAATATCCTTCTGCTGTACAGAGTACTTGGAAATTCCAAGTAATGCCCTACCCTTTTGGTGAAGGGGTTTTGATACACCAGACCCCTCGTACACCTGCGTGGTAACAGTGTACACTTTGCGACCAGGTCTCCTCCGCTGTTTGATTATCTGGTCATGAATGCAGGAATGTGAAACAATGTTATCGGATAACAATTCTGGGCTTTGCCCTTGCACTGTGCTTTCTTGGAATGTTGCATTACCAGCTTCCAACCATAAAAATAGCAAAATAACCTGAAGCAACGCCAAAAAGAACCACATATGTCATGAAAGTGAGCAATTTTAACAGCTGGATTCTTGGTAGAAACCCAAATTTATTGTTCAAACACAAATTGGGTGGTGAAAGATCAACCATTATACACACAATTCCAACACATTCACAAAACCAAAAGAAAAGGCAGATCTAACATATATAGTCTCAGAACAGCTGAACGGATGTCAACTACGAAGTTTCCGAATCCTAATAGCTCAAATTAGCACATGAAAGTGAATGCCGCTGTTTCGTCCCGCTTCGACCCAAATCTGCTTCAACCTCAAAGAACATGAACACTAACAATTGACCAAACCCAACCCACATATCAGCTAAAATCTTTTCAAATACAAAACAAAAGAAACTGAAATGTGACCCCTCAACATAGTGAACAGTTTCCACAAAAGGAAAGTTTAATTAGATGGAAGCATAACCAAGCAAAAGCAAATAGCTTGGAAAGTGGAAATCCATTCCGTACTAAACACAGCTGCTTCCATGAACCCAATCAAAGTAAAAAGCCCTAACCCGCTGTCTGGTTCCCGGGAATATGAAATAACAAAGAAAACATATAACAGACAACTAATTAAAGTGCCAAAATCCCAGATTTTCCCATCTCTTCCCGCAATTTCTCAGCAACCAAACACACCATTAACTCCTAACTGAAATTTTCGAGGGAAAAAACCCAAAAAAACTCAAACCCCAAATCGTCAAAGAAATTAAAAAAAAAAGTGAATAATAAAACTGAAAGAGCTCACCTTGAGGACAACGACGGCGAATCTGAGAGAGGGACATGGACGACGCCGCATAATCACCTCCATGAAATGCGGGAAACTGAAAAACTATGGGCACCGATTCCATCAAATCGCCGGCGAGTTTCCGATCGGCTTTAAAACCCACAAAAATCGCTGGCTCTTCTGCATTTCAAATTGACCCAATAATTTAACCTACGAAATAATCTATTTCCCTTCTGAAAGAGAAACAAAAATCGACGGAGACCCCTTTGGGCTTTTGGGGGTTCGATTCGAAAGCGCCGAACAGTGTGGGCCTTTGGTGCTTCGAGAGCATAAAAAATGCTGCCGCTTTCGACGACTGATTCGAACGAGGAGCTCTTTGGTCCCGCCACTGAAAGCTTCGGCCTTTCGGGAATGTGAAGAACGCGGAATCAGTGACAGTGGAGGAGGAGGAGAACAAGGGGGAGAGAGAGAAGAGGTGCTATAAAATCAGATGGATTGGGTGGGAGTGGGTACAGCTGATGATTTTATTACTCTTTTTTATTTTTTTATTTTTTCATCTTTCATAATTTTTTTCGTTATTTATTTATTTTTAAATTGGGAAAAGCTGGAAAGCAATGACCTTGATGTTTGGCGGAATTACATTAGGCCCATTGAACGTTTTAATTTCTCTGTGTTTATTAATGTTAATGTCGCTTTAACTTTCCATAATTTGTAACTCTTTTAAATTATTTTATTTTTTCTATTTCAGGAAACGTTTTTGGCAATGTTTCCTGAAATTTAAGCCTTATTTCCACATTGCCATCTCAACTTTAAATTTGATTCTGAGCTCCTTAAACTTTTAATTTTTGTTAATATCCCCACGTTATTACTTCTAAACTATTACATCAAATCGATACTTATATTTATACATTTGTCCAAAGCAGTTTTTGAATTTCTTGCAATTGCGTAGTTTCAATTTAGATTTAGAGAACTCGTTTGGAAGTGTCTTTAAAATAGCTGAAAGTGTTTTAGTTTAATATTTTTGAAATCAATTATTAATAAAATGCAAGTAAGTCTTGAAAAAACATTTGAAATTTTTTTACAAGAAGCACGTAATTTGTTAGATCTCACATCGCCCAGAAGAGTGGATCATCTCCTTATATGTATATTCTCATATTTACCTAGCACGAGGTTTTTTGAGAGCTCACTAGCTTCGGATTCCGTAAGAACTCCAAAGTTAAACGAGATCGCAGCGAGAGCAATTCCAGGATGGGTGATCCATTGGGAAGTTCTGGCGTGAGTTCCCAGAAACAAAAGTCGGAGATCAAAACGGACAATATTGTGTTACGATGGAGTCAAGCCCGGATGTGGTGGGGGTCCGGACCAGGATGTAACAATTTGGTATCAAAGCCAGTCTCTGGTCAGAAGTATGGCGACGAGGATGTCAGGCCCTTAAGGAAGGTGGATTGTTAGATCCCACATCTTCTAGGGGAGTGGATCCTCTAAGCCTTATATGTATATTTTAATCTCTATCTAGCACGAGGCTTTTTGGGAGCTCACTGACTTCGAGTTCCGTAGGAACTTTGAAGTTAAGCGAGATCGCAGCGAGAGTAATTCCAGGATGGTTGACTCACTGAGAAGTTCTCGTGTGAGCTCCCATAAACAAAACAGTGAAGGCATGGTCGGGGCCCAAAATGAACAATATCGTGCTACGGTCGAGTCGAGCCTGATATGTGGTGAGAGTCTGGATCCTAATGTGACATAATTAGTGCTTCTTCAAGTACTTTTAAAATCAATAAAAAATATTTTCTTTAGAAACATTTTTAGTCATTTGAAATCAATTAAAGACGAGTCAGTCTCTTGTCATAACTCAATTGTTATATATCTAAATATTACCAACTTTTCTTGGGAAGGAAACATTATGTTTTTGTAAATGCCACTACAAATTGATCACGCGCTATTACACGTGGTAAAATTAATGGAAAATAATGATATAACTAATAATTAAAATTTTAATTTGAAAAAAAAAACAATTAAAAGTTTAAATTGCTCACATTAAATTTGAAAATTCAAAAGGTAATGTAAAACAAATCTAAAGATCCACCCAACCGGTAATGTAAAAGTTTTTCCTTTTGGTTTTTGTGTTGAATTCTTTTGATTTATTTTTAGGGAAAATTATAATGCCCTACATATTTTCTATAGTTGTTAGATTAAACATTCATCCTTTTTAAAGATTTGATTAAGATGCTTCAATCAATTGTCACCTCAATAATTTTCTATTTATTTAATTTCCTTGTCATTAATTTAAATGCATTTATATAGAGGCATAAGGTAGCTTAGCAACTAATTACCTATAATATAGGAATTTAATTTCCTCAATCCCTTTCTACGCATTAAATGATATTTTTTTAATAAAATAAAATAAAAAATTAATTAACTAATTCCTCATTTCCTTATTATCAGTATTTAAAAAAAATACTCTTTCTATTAAAATTGTATTAATAAAAAGTCTTCAATACATATTTTTTTTAATGTATAGATATATAAAAAATATACTTAAAACTTATGGTACATTTGAGAACAAAAATATCGACTTTTGGTACGTTTAGATTTCAAATATACCGAGAAACCAAATTTACCAAAAATTCAAATGTACCATAAAACCAAATGTACCCATTGTTATGTAAACTTTTTGGTACATTTAGATTTCAAATATACAGAGAAACCAAATGTACCATAAAACCAAATGTGCCCATTGTCAGGTAATCATGTTGGTACGTTTAGATTCCTATTGTACCAAAAGACCAAATGACCAAAAAATCTCAAATGTACCGCAAAACCAAATGTCTCTATCAGATAACCCTTTTGGTACATTTAGGGTGCGTTTGGTACGTGGGACGGGACGGGACGGAACGGGACGAGGCGTTCCGTCCCGCGTTTGGTGCGCCAAAAATGGGTGGAACGGGCTGTTCCACGGGACATATTTTGGGTGTTTTTGCGTTCCACCTCCCCCCCTGGAACGGGTTTGTTCCATGTCTGTGGAACACAATGTTTTACCATTTAAAGACAAATATACCCCATGTCTTTATCAAAAATTACACCTTCGTTCCGTCCCGTCCCGTCCCGTCCCGTCTGCGTACCAAACGCACCCTTACATTCCAAATGTACCAAGAAATACAAAAAATCAAATCCACTATAAAACTAAATGTGTCCATATTATAGGTAACTAGACGTAGCTATATAATCAAACAAATCTTTACTATGTATTGGGTCTTCTAAATAATAAAATTTGACAATGTTTTTATAAATATTCTACTATATTCACCAAAAAAAGTAAATATTATAACAAACAATAAAAAAATGCATAGAGATGGATAATAAATGCATAAATATAGGGATAATAGGAAAAGAAAAAAAAAGAAAACGAAATGCCCATGAGATGGATAATAAATGCATAAAATATGGGGATAATAGGGATAATAGGAACTGAAATTAATAACCAAAATTTTAGGAAAATGTTTGATCAAATTTTCAAAAGGAATGTATGTTTAGTCTAAAAAATTAAAAGACGAGGCACCTATATCAAAATGCCCCTTATTTTTAAGCAAAGGAAATTCATATCGATATGAAATGAATTGGCATTATTCATAAAAAAAATTCTTTGATAATGTAAGTGGATAAGGTCATGACGGTCCACCATCCCCAACATGTGGATTAACCAAATTATCAATTATTAAAAGCCATATTAAAAATTTCTTATGCTTCAATTTTAATTTCTTTTTTTTATTGGTGATGGGTGCATCATATTTCTTAATTATTATTTTTAGTGAAATTAGACACGACAATTTAGAATTTAATAGGCTACTCTATTTTGATGTTGTATGTTGTTGTAAAGGTCAAAATTAAAAAACAAAAAACCGTAAATTATGCTAGCACCTTCGTTCAATTTTTTTTTTCCTTCTAATTAAGTTTGAGAAACAATAAGTTATGACTTGCTTTGCTACACACCTTGTTAGATGTGAGTTTGGCCTACTAATCCCAGTGGGCATTGTAACATCTCATATCATTCAAGGAAGTAAATCATCTATGCCTTATATGTATATTCTCATTTCTACCTAGCACGAAGCTTTTTGGAAACTCACTGGGTTTGGATTCCATCGAAACTCCGATGTTAAATGAGTTCGCGCGAGAGCAATCCCATGATGGGTGACCCACTAGGAAGTTATCGTGTGAGTTCTCAAAAGCAATACAGTGATGGCGTGGTCGGGGCTCAAAACGGACAATATCGTGTTACGGTGAAGTCGAGCCCAAAATGTGGTGGGGCCCGAGCCGGGATAACAGGCATGCTTTATATGACTTCAGCATGAGGTGATAATAAATCTCTAACAAAAATCTTCATATAAATCAATCACTTTAAATGCTCCGCTTAGCTACTTGGCTCGGCTGAGCACATTGGTCCAATTGTTAGGTTAAAATATGCATGCATGTTTTTCAAATCTGAGAAGAAAATTGCTTTCATTACCTTGGTCAGTCTTTAGCTTAAAGAGGAATTACTCTCTCTTTTGATTTGAGTGGGATTCTAATTATTTAACTTTAAGCAAGAAAGGACCGAAACTTGAGTGTACGTGAGAGAGCATCGCTCTAAAAAACGAGGGATACCATAATACCTGGTTAATTAAATTTATGATTATAACTTAAACCACATGTTTTACGAAGAACAAGAAACTAAGAATCAAATTTGTCGACATCAGTGAAACAAATCCACGTCTTAAAAAGGGTACGATTTGAATTTGATAGTGTGGGCAAGCTAGAAAGTTTGATAGATTTACTGGTTTCCCAGTGTCTACTTTGATAGTGTGGGCAAGCTAGAAAGTTTGATGGATTTACTGGTATCCGAGTGACTACTCATTGAGTTGATGGCTGCATACACTCGTAAGTCCATGGCTACAAATCTCAGTCTCAACCAAACACAACTACAACAGAACTACAAAAATCTCAGTCTCATAAAGTAAATATTGATTTGGTCAAAAATTGGAAACTCTGACGGTGTGACAAAACCTTTCTGTCCATGTGATGTCAAAAACTTATTGGTCCCATTCAACTTGAACAATGTTGAATCCCATCCGTTGGAAGAGATATTTCAATGTCAACATGATTCGGTACACTGAGTGTATAATTCAAGAGAACTTTAACAACAAAAATTTATACTGTTTATTTTAATTAAAAATCATATTTTGACATTAAAAAGTCAATCCTAATACTATTCACTTTATCTTTTATTTTGTCCTTATTGTTAAAACTTCAAATTATTTTCATTAGTTTTCCTATAATTCAATTGGTTGAGAAATTTAAAATAAAATTTTAACTAATTATATTATACATTTGATGTACCAGACGATGTTCTTAGTATATTAAAAATTTTATTAGTCTCCTGACATATTTGCTCCATTGCATTAATTATCTAAAATGCAAAAGTATATGGATTCTTATCCTCAAAGCTCTGCACAGAAAATTAGACTAAATAATCATCA